CACCCCGACATACATTTTTTTATTTCAGTGGTTGTGATCCTCAGCTCTGTTTAGTTCTTGTTTATATTTTTTAACTCTTAAAAATTTCTAACTTCTCACTCTGTTCATCCAGTCTTCTCCCGGGTTCTTTGATGATGTCTACGATCACGACCTTGTACTCTCTATTGGGTAGACTGTTTATCTTCACTTCTTAGTTCTTCTTCTGGGGTTTTGTCTTGTTCTTTCACTTGGAACATACTCCTCTGTCACCTCATTTTGCTTAATTTGCTGTTTTTATTTCTGTGTATTTGCTGGGTTGTTTCCCAATCTTAGAGTAGTGGGCTTCTATAGGAAACGTCCTATCGGGCCCAGCAGCACACTCCCCTCTGGACACCAGAGCTGTGTGCTCTGGGGGTGCCCTCTGTGGGGCTGCATGAGTCCTTCTGTTGTGGTGAGCTGACTGCTGTGGGCAGTCTGGTAGGCATGGCTTGCCCCCAACCCGATAGTCTGCGAGGACTTGTGGGTAGCTGCCTGCTGCTGGTGGATCACGGTGGGTCCTGGCATGCCTGGCTGCATGGTGAGGAGAGTCCTGGCACTGGTGCTGGCCTGCTGGTGGATGATGGAGGATCAGGAGGTGGCTGACTAGGGAGCCCTAGGGCATTCTGGAGCTACTGTTGGTCTGCTGGTGGGCAGGGCCAGTTCCTGGCACAGCTATCTGAGGAGCTCAAGGTGTCCTGGAGTTGGTGTCAGTTCATTGGTGAGTAGATCAGGGCCCAGGGCATCCTGGGGCTGGTATCTCCCCACTGGTGGGTGGAACCAGATCCTGGGTTCTCTGGCTGTGGAGCCTGGGGGTCCCAAAGCTGGTGTTGGCCCTCTGGTGGGCAGGCAGGGGCCAGGGGTCCTGGACCCTCTGGTGAGTGGGGACAGGTCCCAGGCTGCTGGGGGCTCAAAGGACCCTATGGTAGTCGTCCTGCTGGTGGATGGGCTGTGTCCCCACTCAGCAACCTACTTGGCCTGGGGGAATCCCAGGACTGGTTCTTTCTGGCCAGAGAGTAGGGCCAGGTCCCAGCCCTAATTAGCAAGAGGGGGAATTCAAAAATGGCACTTGCCAGCACCAGTATCCTCATGGTAGGAAGAGCTCCCCCAGATGGCTGCTGCCAGCATCCCTGTCCCCAAGGTAAGTCCCAGTTGCCTCTTCCTCTCTGGGAGGCTCTTCAGGGTCAGGAAGTAGATCTGAGCCAGGCTCCTTTCAAATGACTGCTTTTGATTTTGTGTCCACCTTAAAGAGTGGAATCTCTATTTCTCACAGCCCTCTGGCTCCCCAGAAATTAAGCCCCATTGGCCTTCAAAGTCAAATGTTCTGGGGCCTTGTCCTCCCAGTGCAGTACCTGCAGGGGAGCCTAATGTAGGACTCAGACCCTGGGGGTGTGGGTCTCCACCCCTTCTGTCCACCTCATTGTGGTTCCTCCTTTATATCTTTAGTTGCAGAAGATCTTTTCTG